TAAAACAAATATTTCAATACTTTTTCTCGCAATTATATCGTTGGGTAAGTATAGGTGACTGTATATAAATTGCGGGCATCAGGTAGACGCTATTGAAACCGCTTTCGATTGCGCGCTCTCATTTTACTTTGATTCGCGATCACATGGACTCTATACTATGGAGCGGCAGTACTTGCCAGACATTTGACAAGATTAGATGTTTGTCATTGGTGCTCAGGATCTGCAATCATTGGCCATCGTCCTATCAGACATTGCTCCTTACTCTGTGTATGTGGTAAGTGAACTTTCATGTACTGTAATGCAACAGGCTACCGCTAGCAAGCGGCTAACCTTTTAGTGGCTCAGTAGAACGCGTTATTTGTTTCACGATGTTTCACTGTAGACATCGTCCAATGCCAATTTGGTAGACATCGCCCAACCCTAGTAGACAATAAGTTATTTTGCTTGAGGATGACAATAGAGTGAGCAGATCAAGCCAAGACAAGATTTGTTTGAATGTTTAATTATAATTTTTTTCTAAATTCCTCCTCACTGAAACAAGTACATTAAGTAATTTTGGAGTACAGTGTTATGTTTGATGGCCTGGAATATTTTCCCAAATTCATTTGACATGATGTTGAAGTTTTTGATGTTTAATTGTTTTCTAATTGTGTGTTTGTATCTGTTAATGGTGTCACTTGCAGTGCTTTTCCCTGTTGCTGCTTCTTTCAGTCCTTTAGTATGTCCGTTTTACTTTGGGTTTGTGGTTCACACAACAGGAAGTAGGATGTGGCTTCTGTGATGATTTATTTTCATGATTGAGCGATATTGTGGGGGTTTTGTGCACAGTAGTAATACAGTTTATGTTGTGGTGTTACGTGTTCAGTAGTTGATATGTAGAACCAAATTGAATTATCTATTTCTGCTTTTGACACTATAATTATTAGACTGCAACAATAAAAACATGCCTATTAAAAAGTGTTTTTACCTACAAGATTTTGAACTGTATGAATATTTCTAAATTGATCACATCCAACTTAATTTTAGAACCTGATGTTAGATTATTGAGATGAATGACATTTGTGACCAGATTA